CTTTATGGTAGAATGATTTATATTCCTCTGGGTATATACCCAGTAATGGAATTGCTGAGTTGAGTGGTAGTTCTGCTTTTAGCTCTTTGAAGAATCATCATACTGCTTCCCACAATGTTAGAACTAATTTACACTCCCACCAACAGTGTATAAGTGTTCCATTTTCTCTGCAACCTTGCCAGCATCTGTTAGTTTTTGACTTTTTAACAATGGCCATTCTGTCTGGTGTGAGATGGTATCTCATTGTCATTTTGATTTTCATTTCTCTAATGAACAGTAATATTGAGTTTTTTTCATATGTTTGTTGGCTTCTTTTGAAGTGTCTGTTCATGTCCCTTGTCCACTTTTTAATGGGTTGTTTTTATCTTGTAAATTTCTTTCAGTTGCTGGATATTAGACCTTTATCAGATGCATAGTTTGCAAATATTTTCTCCCATTCCCTAGGTTTCTGTTTATTCTGTTGATACTTTATTTTTCTATGCAGATACTCTTAAGTTTAATTAGATGTCACTTGTCAATTTTTACTTTTGTTTCAATTGCTTTTGGTGTCTTTGTCATGAAATCTTTGCCTGTTCCTATGTTCAGGACTGTATTGCCTACGTTGTCTTCTGGGGTTTTTATAGTTTTAGATTTTACATTTGAGTCTTTAATCCATCTTGAGTTGATTTTTGTATACGGTATAAGGAATGGGTCCCACTTCAATCTTCTGCATATGGATAGCCAGTAATCATGTATTGAATAGGGAGTCTTTTCTCCACTGCTTGTTTTTGTCAGCTTTGTTGAAAATCAGATATGTGGCCTTATTTGTTATGGGGCTCTTTGTTATGTTCCATTGGTCTATGTGCCTGTTTTTGTACTAGTTCCATGCTATTTTGGTTACTGTAACCTTATAATAGGGTTTGAAGTTGAGTAACATGATGCCTCCAGCTTTATTCTTTTTGCTTATGGTTGCTTTGGCTACTCAGGCTCTTTTTGGTTCCATATGAATTTTTAAATAGTGTTTTCTAGTTCTGTGAAGAACATCGGTGGTAGTTTGATAAGAATAGCACTGAATCTATAAATTGCATTGGGCAGTATGGACACTTTAATTATACTGACTCTTCCTATCCATGAGAATGGGATGTTTTTCCATTTGTGTGTGTCTTCTCTGAAGAAATTATATTTCTTTTTAATATTTTGAAGCAAATCACCAAAAATTGGTGACGTAGAGGTTCCCCTTTACTACACAACTGACTGAAATTACAGGCCATCTCCTTAAATAGCCAACTCCTTGTTTTGTTCACAATGTTCTTGCTGTTGCCATCAAAAAATAATTCTCATACTTTTGAGTTCTTTTTAGAAATTACAAATACTGTCAACATTTTGAAAATGTATTACCTCTTTTATTGATTTATACATATTTTGGGGGCACATGTCATATTTTGATACTTATGTACAGTGTGTAATGATCAAATCAGGGTAATTGGAATATCCATCACCTGAAACATTGTACTCATACTGAGAACACTTAAATCTCTTCTTGCTTTTTTGAAATATACAATAAATTATTAACTATAATTTCTCGACTGTACTATGGAATGCTATAACTTAGAGCTCTGTAAGAGGCATTTGAACCAAAGCAAATCCATGTTAAATAGGAGTTTGGTAAAATGACACTGAAACTACTGGGATGCATTCCCAGACAGTTAAGGCATTCTAAGTCACAGGATAAGATAGGAGGTCAGCACAAAATACAGGTCATAAGGACCTTGCTGATAAAACAGGTTGCATTAAAGGACCAGCCAAAACTCACCAAAACCAAAATGGTGACAAGAGTGACCTTTGTTTGTCCTCACTGCAACACTCCCACTAGCACCATGACCATTTACAGATACTGTGGCAATGTCAGGAAGTTATCCTATATGGTCTAGAAAGAGAAGGCATGAATAATCCACTCCTTGTTTAGCATATCATCAAAAAATAAAACCATAAAAATGGGCAACCAGCAGCCCTCAGGGCTGCTTTCTCTATGGAGTAGCCTATAAGGTCTTTTAGGCTGACTGACTGCACCATGGATGGCATGGTAACTTCTGTGACCTGCATGTACACTGCAGATGAGTTCCTGGAACTAGAATATCTGAAGTAACTGGAAAACCACAAAAGAAGAAGAAATGATCAGCCCCTGCAGTGCCTAATTAACTTTGAAACATTCTTCTATTGTTCCTTATTCCCACCTCAACTAATAAGGCAACTGGACTTTGTAACCAACCTTGGTCAACCTCGTGACTCCAGACCCTACGACCCCACTCTCCCAGCTTGAAAAACCGCCCTGAACTGTAATTTCTGTAATTTTCCACTGCCTACCCCAAACTTATAAAACCAACTCCTATCCCTCCACCCTCTGCTGACTCTATTTTTGGACTCGGGCCACCCACACCTGGGTGAATAAACAGCCATGTTGCTCACAGAAAGTCTGCTTGGGGGGTGTCTCTTCATTCAGAGGGTGTGTTTTAACATAGCCATTCTTTTATTACTTTACTTTGTTAGTAAACTTGCTTTCACTTTGCACTGCAGAGTCGCCCTGAATTCTTTCTTGCACAAGAACCCTCTCTTGGGATCGGAATCTGGATTGGGACCCCTGTCCTATAACACCTCTATCTAACTGTATGTTTGTGTCCCTTATGTTGGAAATGGTGTTTTGTTTTGTTTTTTGAGACAGAGTCTCACTGTACACCCAGGCTGGAATGCACAGGTGCGATCCCGGCTCACTCCTCCTTTCGTGCCTTAAAAAACAGCTCTAAAAACTACTCCCTCCCTAGCTCTCCCCAACCAACACTTTTTCATTATATACTGCTAAAATCCAGGGCTATGCAGTCAAAAGTCTTACACAGGAGCCAGGCCCATGGCCTGTAGCCTTTTCATCCAAACAACTTAACCTAACAGTCCTGGGGTGGCCCTCATGACAATGCACAGTAGCAGCTGCCACCCTAATACTCTTAAAATCAGTCAAAAATCACAGGCTATGCCCCATTTACCCTCTAGCTCTCACAACCTCCAAAGCTTTCTCTTTACACCTCACAAACTTACTTTCAGCCCCTCCCCTTCTCCACTTTTATGCTGTCGCCCCTACTACTACTTAAACCACACCTTAGAAAATGTGTTTCTATTATTTTCTGTCTAACTGTGCTCAAATTCACTGTACTCATTGACTTTTACGTGCTCTGCTTTTGTTTAGGTTGCCAGTTTACACGTTTCCTCCAGGTAATTACAGCTAATATTTCACTCTTACTCTGGCTCCAACTCTCTGCTCAAACCCAATCTTTTTAATAAAAGTCAGTGGTTGCTTATAGATACCACATTCCTCATACACCATAAAAACAAAAGCTCTCCCTCCACACAGTTAACCTTCTCTTTCCCCTTCTCTTATTTAAACCCTGTGTTTTTCCAATTAATTTCTCAATTCCTACAAAATCATATACAAGCAATAACCAATCAATCAATATGACAAATACTCCCTTCTAATGACCCCACAATATTACCCCTGTCCCCAAGATCTCCCAGCAGTCTAAATTCTTTCCCATTTTTAGGTTCCCACCCCACCCCCAATCCTGCTGGAAGAAGCCTTAAAAAACTTCGCTCCCACCTGCTAAAACTTGTTATCACCCCGTTTTCTCTAATTCTCTCTCTCTCTCTATAAAGAGACAGGTATGTCAGGGCTCCATATGCAGGCCTGGAGCCTGAAAGTCTGAAGTCCTGCTTGCCTCTGCTGATCTCCCACCCCCTGCTTGCATTCGCCATTGTACCCACCCCCCAACACTGTAACTAAACTTACTCTGCAACATCCCTGCCCCCCAAAACTACCCAAACCTATAAAACCAACTCCTATCCCACTGCCCTTTGCTAATGCCCTTTTCAGCCTTAGCCCACCTGCACCCAGGTGAATAAACAGCCATGTTGCTCACACAAAGCCTGTTTGGAAGGTCTCTTCATTCCAAGCCCGCGTTTTTCAACACTCTTACTGTCTCCAAGTTTGTCTTTTCCAGAATATCATATAAATTATACAGGAGGTACCCTTTTCAGATTAGCTTTTCACTACTAATATGCATTTAAGTTTCTTCCATGTCTTTTCATTTTTTTTTTTTTTTGACCTTTGCTCTTGTTGCCCAGGCTGGAGTACAATGGCACAATCTTGGCTCACTGCAACTTCCGCCTCCTGGGTTCAAGAGATTCTCCTGCCTCAGCCTCCCAAATATATGGGATTACAGGCATGTGCCACCATGCCCAGCTGATTTTTATAGTTTTTAGTAGAGATGGGGTTTCACCATATAGGTCAGGCTGGTCTCGAACTCCTGACCTCAAGTGACCCACCCACCTCCGCCTCCCAAAGTGCTGGGATTACACATAGATGGTTTCAACAAGTTAAGGAAGTTCTCTATTTCTAATTGGCTGAGATTATTTATTATGAATGGGTACTGTGTTTTGGCAAATGCTTTTTCTGCATCTATTGTTACGATCATATAATTTGTATTCTTTGTGTAGTACATAGTCTCTGAAAATAAGGATAAAAAAATTAATATAAATAAAATAAAGATTTGCATTCTTAGGTTGTTGATATGGACTACATTAATTGATTTTTGAGTAAATGTTGAACCAGCCTTGAATAGCTATGCTAAATCTCACTTAGTCATAGACTATGATTCTTTTTAAAAATTTTTTATTTAATTTGCTAATATTTTATTAATCCTTTTATCTTACCAATGCCAGAAGATTCAGTTTAGATCAGAAAGAAAAATGATTATAAATCTACAGTTCAACTTTAATGTCCTCTAGATAGAACTTTTGATAGACTTATGAAGTGTTCTGGATATTTTCAGATCTCTGCTAGGAAATAAACATTATCAAAACTTCTCAGCAAGCTGGAAATAGAAGAGAACTTCCCTAATTTGGGAAAGGTGTTACAGGACCACTACATTTGACTGCTTATTGCACAGTGACAGACAAATATGCCAAAACAGCAGGAGTTGCAGCAAAGAGTTTAATAATCATAAAACAGCCAAATAAGCAGACAGGAGGAAACCTCAAATCCACATCTCCAAAAAACTTGGATATGGGACTTTTAAGAGATCTGGACAAGTGATGGGCTAACATGTAGTGATTGCTAATTGGTCAAGAAGTGAGAGCTGAAGTCTTGGGGCAGGTAGATGAAGCGACTACATTCCTGTGCTGAGTCAGTTCCTCTCTGGGGGTCTTCAGACCAGCTGGCATCAGCCATTCTGCTGGAATTCAGGATCTGAAAAAACAACTTAAGCAATTATTAGGTTAAAAGGTCCAGTGTCAGCCAAGTGTGGTGGTTCATGCCTATAATCCCAGCACTTTGGGAAGTCAAGGCATGCACCTGCAATCCCAGCTACTTGGGAGACTGAGGCAGGAGAATCGCTTGAACCCAGGAGGCCAAGGTTGCAGTGAGCAGAAATTGCACCACTGCACTCCAGCCTGGGTGACAGGGTGAGACTGCATTTCAAAAAGTCCAATGTCAGAGATTCTATCTATAGGAACAATGGAGGAGCAGGTGGTCAGTTTGCTACATGACTCTCAAGTTAGTTAGCAGCTGCAGGGAAGTGGATCAAAATGCACCAATCCTGGGATTACAGGTGCACACTACCACGCCCAGCTAATTTTTGTAGTTTTAGTAGAGACGGGGTTTCACCATGTCAGGCAAGTTGGTCTTGAACTTCTGACCTCAGGTGACCTACCTGCCTCTGAAAATACACATTATGTGTCCTGGATTGACTCCAATCTAACCCACTCTTATTTGTGACTTACAAAAGAGGCCAGTATACATTGATCATCCTCCTATGGCCACAAAGAGACCATGGCAAAGTTGCAAGAAAGGATCCTAAACTTTGTGGCCTTCTCAGAAGTCCCCAGACCTAGAACTGCTCCCTGAGCATAAGAGATGGCAGACAGCAGGAGATAAACATTTTGAGTGGACAGAGGGCCTTTATGTGAAATAGAGTTACAAATATAAAAAGAAAATAATAAACCCTGTCTGCTTGTGAAACTTTGAGCAATTAATTTAACATTTTGAAACTCCATTTTATTACCCACAAAAGGAGAATAATATTGCAGCATTATCACAATAGTCAAGCTTTGGAATCAACCTAACTGTCCATCAATGGATGAATGGACAAAGAAAATGTGGAATATATACACAGTGGAATACCATTTAGCCTTAAAATAGAAGGAAATCCTATCATTTGCTATAACATGGATGAAATTGGAGGACACTATGTTAAGTGAAATAAGCCAGGCACAGAAAGGCAAATACTGCAACATCTCACTTATACATGGAATCCAAAAAAGATTAACTCACAGAAGCAGAGGGTAGTATAGTGGTTACCAGGGGCTGCCTGAAGGGTAATTGGAGATGCTGGTCACAAAATATAAAACTTCAGCTAGATAGGAGTAATAAGTTCAAGAGATCTACTGTATAACTTGGTGATTATAGTTAATAACAATGTATTGTATACTTGAAAATCACTGTGTGTAGATTTTGTGTTCTCTCCACAGAAAAGTAGGGATGGGGAGCAGATAATAATACCTACCCTGCATGCTTTTGTGAAGACTTAACAACGGTACCTGAGTATTGGAATTCAATTGTGCTCAAACCCTGCCTGCTACCTACTTGGACACTGAATGATCTTAAGTAAATTATGTAGCCAGGTTAAATATCACATTAAGTTTTCTTACCAATAAGATGAAATATTAATATCAGCCCTTTAACTGTATAATCCAAATCTGCCAGGATGCCTATGACAAGGTCCCTCTGTTTTTACCCTGCATCCATCTGAAAGCAGGTCTCAGATGTTTAATTCAGCTTACCTAATAAGCCTATCTCAACAAATTTTTAAAAATGGATATTTTATTCACATGCCTGTAATCCCAGCACTTTGGGAGGCCAAGGCAGGTGGATCACCAGGTCAAGAGATCAAGACCATCCTGGCCAAGGTGATGAAACCCCAACTCTACTAAAAATACAAAAAATTAGCCAGGCGTGGTAGCAAGCACCTGTAATCCCAGCTACTCTGGAGGCTGAGGCAGGAGAATCACTTGAACCCAGGAGGTAGAGGCTGCAGTGAGCTGAGATCGCACCCACGTAAGTCTCAAAAAAAAAAATGGATATTTTATTAAAGACTTTGTGATAAGGTATAAAATAGGTTCTCATCACAAAAGAAACTTAAACATATATTATCCATTAGATAGTTCCAGTGGTGCGCTGGTAAATGTTCAACTGACTCTCAAAGAAAAACGTATGCATTTATACACACGTTTATTATAAATTTTTCTGATATCAAAGATTGTTATACAAAATTTACTATTTGTAAATTTTGCTATTGGTTTCTACAGATTGCTTTCCTTGATTTTTGCAGAACTTTTGTAATCCATAACCAACCTATGGTTCTGACTGAACTGTGATCTGACAAATGGAGTTATATACCCATTTATTTTCTAATAAATCAACAATGTATTGTTATTAGATCTAATATGTAATCTATTATTAAAGTATTTGTCACTCTACTATATGTTTAATAAATATAGTACAGACTACACTCATTAAATTAAAACCAAGTTTTAATTTAAAACTAAATTTAAATTAACTTTAATTTAAATCTAGTTTAGCACTAAATACGTTGTTCATCAATGATGGGAGATTTTTCCTGAATCAGATAATAGTTTTCTGATATGTACTGAAATAATATTTCCTCAATTTAAGGGGCTATTCCCAATGTAATAGATATTAGCACTACACACTTTTACATTTATTCTGCATTATTTTGACATTTTCTTCATTACTTTCTTAAGTCTAATCAACTGATGAAACAATACAGAAAGCCTTGATTTGTATGTGGAGCTTTGCCTGCTTTTAGTTTCCTCGTGGACTTGGGAAAATTTCTATGATCCTCATGGCTTTGCAGCTAGTGTATGCCCCCTCACATTGTTTGCAGCAGTATCAGCTCCAGGAGAGTCAAAATCCTTCTTGGTTCTTTCATACTATGGCCCACTGCGTCTAAAGTAGATTTTAGGTTAGTGTTACTTGAATTGCAAGTACTATTACTACTGAAGCAGTGACTCTGTTTCCATCACTTGGAGAGAAGACCAAAAACATATATTAAACACCTAGAGAGAGAGGAAAAAAAAAACACATTAAAGTGTGATTATAGGAACTGACCAGAAATTTAGAAAAGAGAACAGCTCACTGCTGTGTGAAGGAGCCAAAGGAATTTCACGTTGACCTGAACAAGAAATTAAAGGAACCCTAGACCTTGGCCTGAGGACAGAATGGGAATGGTGGTTTGGAGAGAAGAGATGAGGACAAAGGGAAGTGTGAGGAACAGTGTAAGGTAAAGTTGGCTGGATAAAATGAGACTTCAAAAGGCCAGTCTGCAAAACTTGAACGTGGTGTAATAAACAATCAAAGGACATTTTAGATCTTTATAAAAACAAATCACACGGGAATGATATTGAAGCAGAAGTCTGGTAGCATCCCCAGGACAGGAGTTTCAGAAACTATTGCAGTGGCTCAGGTTTAAAAGACAAGAAACAACAAATGATCAGTTCACCAGTGATCAGCAATAGGTCATGTTGACATCATCTACCCCCAGATACCTCGCAATGAGAAAGGGACATAATCTTTGTTGCATTCTTCCTAAACATCCAATCATGAGAAACTTCAGTCCAATTATGAGAAAACATCAGAGAAACCCAAACTGAGGGGCAGTATACAGAAACTAGTACTGTTCAAAAGGGTCAAGGTTTTTGAAGACAAAAGACTGAGAAACAATCACAAATTAGAGGAGGCTAAGAACACATGAAAACTAACTGCAATATGGTATCCCAGATTGGATCCTGGAACAGAAAAAGGACATTAGTGGAACAGTTGGTGAAATTCAAATAAAATCAGTAGTATAGTTATAACAGTTTTGTATCAATGTTAATTTTTTAGTTTCATTCGTTATATAAGCTGTCAACATAGGGTAATATAGGTGATTATGTGGGAACTCCCTTTATTACCTTTGCAACTTTTCGGTAAGTCTAAAATCATTTTAAGTTAAATCAGTAAAACTACCAGTTCTTTTACCTGCTTCTAGCAAGTGACACAGAGGGACAGAGCAAAACCTTGCAAAGCATGACATTAAAGGTGTCTCAGAAGCAAGGGTCTTGTGTGGCCCCTGGCTCTGCTGCTCCCAAACTGCATGGCCTTTCTTGGCAAATGATTTACAATTTCTGAGCTTCGAGCCAGTGTCTTAAAAACGGTACGACACAAGATGTCTTTTCAACAAATGGTACTAAGAAAATTGGATATCCACATGCAAAAGAACAAATTTGGACTCGTACATCACATATGAATATTAACTCAAAATGGATTAAAGATCTAAGTGTAAGAGTTTAGATTATAAAACTCTTTGGAGAAAACATACAGGAAAAGCTTCCTAACATTGTATTTGGCTATGACTTCTCCATGACACTGAAAGCACACGCAACAAAAGAAGAAGAAAAAAAAGACAAGTAGAATAGGAAAAAAAAAAAAAAAAAGACCAGAAAAGCAACGAAGGGCAGCATTGTATCTTTACAGTTGTCAGATTTTACCCCAATGGTGTTTTAGCTTCCAGGAGCTGTCCACGCGTCGCCACTATTTTATCACTAAGGTTTTAATCGTGAATAAACGAGGAACTGGATTCGAATGATTTCTTACTTTCTGAGATTCTCTGTCTAAGCATTGTGGACTTCGTGCGTTCTCAACACCACAGGAAGCGTCCCATCTCAGTGCGCTTCGGCTCTCACAGCCCAAAACTGCAAGGAGTTCCTCGGCCCGGCCTCTCTTCCCTCCTCCTCCCTTCCCCGCCGCGCGCTCATCTTTCTTCCCGCCCCCTCTCCTTTCCCTCCTCCGCTCTTTGTGGAGCTCGCGCAACCACAAGCCCGACGCAAACCATACATTTCTCTTGCAGAAAAACTCGCAAGAGAGAAAAACCCTCGGAAAAGGTGAGACTCAGCGAGGACCCACACTCAGGGCGGAGCCCTCCAATTCCTTCCTCGCGCCCCGGAACGAGCAACGCACCAGCCGGACTGCGGGCGCCCAGGCTCCCCGGTCGGGCCGGGATGCGGCCAGGGCCCGCTCGCCGCCGGGAACAACCTCCCGACTCTTCCCGCGGGGAGCCTGTGGCAGTAGACAGCCGCGCCCGGGCGCTCCGGGTACCGGGGTCGGATCCGTGACGTCGCGGGCGTGCGACTGGCCGCCACCCGGCCTCTGGGCTGAACTAGGGCCCGCCCAGGCCCCGACCCGACCCGGGCCCCGCCCCTCCAGCCAGGGCGCTGAGCCCCGGCCCCAGCCGCTCGCCCGCATTCGCCGCTCGCCGGGCTCGCCAACTTTTGCACCCAGTTCACGCGCAGCCGCTATGTGTCCACGAGCCGCGCGGGCGCCCGCCAAGCTGCTTCTCTTCCTGAGCGCGCTGCTGTGGCCCGCGGCCGGCGCCTGGGAGCTCACGATTCTGCACACCAACGACGTGCACAGCCGGCTGGAGCAGACCAGCGAGGACTCTAGCAAGTGCGTCAACGCCAGCCGCTGCGTGGGTGGCGTGGCCCGGCTCTTCACCAAGGTGCAGCAGATCCGCCTCGCGGAAGCCAACGTGCTGCTGCTGGACGCCGGCGACCAGTACCAAGGCACCATCTGGTTCACCGTGTACAAGGGCGCCGAGGTGGCGCACTTCATGAACGCCCTGCGCTACGATGTCATGGTAAGACCCGAGCCCGCGCCAGGTTTAGGAGTCCCGGACTCCTAACAGAGAGGAGCCGGGCTTGAGAAGCAGCGAGTGGCAGAGGATGGCAAGCCCAGGACCAGGGCGCGGAGAGATGTGGGGATAAAGTGAGACTCCGGCCAGTGTGCCAGCTGGATGCAGACATAGAAGTCCTTTGGACGATTCGTCTTAAATGGATGTTATTGGGCTCCCACTATGAGATAGGAGTATTTAGAAAAGCAGGACCCAGTCCTGTCTGCGAGGGGGTTCAGGTGGGGTGCGTAGAAGCATTGACAGTTACCCAGTGCTAGGGACTGAATCAGGTCCCTCAGGTAGCTCTCATTTACTGTTAGATCTTTGAAAGAATGCTTTATCTCAATCTAGCTCTTTCGGAAAATGCTTAGGTCAATCTTATTGAAAGGTAAACAGCATCAAAGAAGCTAAATAAATTATCAGGTCACCATCCCTCCAAAAGGGGAGACGTGATAAGAATGGGCACCAGATCCCTTTGACCCTGGAGCTTGAGCATACCTAAGCTCACAGCTTTGCGGTAGATTCCCTGCTCAACTACCTTCTATGTGACCTTGAGCAAGTTATTTACTCTTTCTTGCCTCAGTTCTATCCTCTATAAAATAAGGATTATAATTTTACTTACTGCAAACATTGCCTGCGCATAGTGTGGTCTCTATAGATGTTATTACTATTACCAGACACTATAATACAGGAAAAGAAAAGAAGGAAAGGAAGGAAGGAAGGAAAAGAAAGAAAAGAAAGAAACAAACTTCCCAGAGAGCCAAAATGATGAAACACTTGTGTTTCAAAGGATTTTAATAAAGTCAGGTTGGCACCAGAGATTTTGGAAGAGTCCAACTTAAGAAATAATGGGCTCTTAAAACATGTGCAAAAGTTTAGTTCAAGGTCCCAAATGTTCAGTTAAAAGTAATGCCTTGTTTGTTGCACTAAATTATAGAAAAGGAGCAGAGGGGGTTTACATAGTAATAAATAAGCACAACCGAGATGCATATATGGTGGTTAAAAAACAAATCAAAACACACCCAAATTTAACCCTGTGTAAAAGTCCCGAGTAAAAGGATTTGACCAAGACTGTGGAGAAACTTGGGAGAAGAAAACTTAAGAGCTGTGGAAAAGGAAGAACAGAGATATCTCCAGAGAAGGATCCAGAGAAATCTGTGAAGTCCACAAGTGTGGAAGGGAAAGCTCAGTGTGATGAGGCTGGGACACAGAAGGCTCACAGCACACTTTGTAGAAGAAGAGCTTAGTGGTCAGGAGAGCACAATGCTGAAAGGTTTGTTTGGTTTTAGTTTCCCCTCCGGAAACTTGGAGAAAGGAGGACAGGAAAAGATGATAAGAGGGCACCATTGTTTGGCTTTAAGCGCCCCCCCCCAACAACAAGAAAACTCATTTTAAAGAGATGAGAGATGGGGAGAACGCTCCCTCTGTTCTGATGCTTTTGAACTTATCAGGGACACACAGCAGCAGACATTCCAGCAGACCTTCAGCCTTCAGAGTTCATGGGGTGGGGCTTACTCACATCTGGATTTTAAGAAGAATTGTGGGTCTCAAGAACTCTGTGGTCTCTTAAGCATTGGTATTCCACAGCTACACTTCCCTGATACTTTGCACTCAGTAATGACAAAATAAACATTTATAGAATTGGATTGTTACTACCCTGTATCTCCACTTCCTCTGAGAAGGGTAGAATAAACTTATATTTGTTTGTTTTATTTTGCATATAAACCACGACTTTGTAAACTTTACTTTTTGTAACACTCATTTCTCCACTATTGTGTGAACCCTTTTACATGAAAAAAAAGAAGAATTCCTAGTGTTCCCCAATAATATTTCTCTGTTGTAAGTCTAGTTGAACTCCTGGTGTTAATCATGAGAAACAGCGTCAAAGAAGCTGAATAAATTATCAGGTCACCATCCTCCCAAAAGGGGAGACGTGATAAGAATGGACACCAGATCCCTTTGACCCTGGAGCTTGAGCATACCTAAGCTCACAGCTTTGCGGTAGATTCCCTGCTCAACTACCTTCTATGTGACCTTGAGCAAGTTATTTACTCTTTCTTGCCTCAGTTCTATCCTCTATAAAATAAGGATCATGATTTTGCTTACTGCAAACATTGCCTGAGCATAGTGTGGTCTCTATAGATGTTATTACTATTACCAGACACTATAATATAGGGTTTAAAAAAGAGAAGAAAAGAAAGAAAGAAGGAAGGAAAGAGGGAGGGAGGGAGGGAAGGAAGGAGACAGAAAGAAAGGAAGGAAAGAAAAGAAAGAAAAAGAGAGAGACTTTAGAGAGAGCCAAAATGCTGAAACATTTGGGTTTGAAAGGACTTCAATAAAGTAGGTTTGGCAGCAGACATTTAGGAAGAGTCCAAGTTCAGAGATAATGGACTCTTAAAACATGTGCAAAAGTTTAGTTCAAGGTCCCAAGTGTTCTGTTAAAGGTCCCAAATGTTTATGACAGGACATCTAGGTGAGGCCTGAATAAACTACTGTAAGTTACAGCTTATCTCTTCTGTGGATGTTCAGAATCCTTTTTGTTGGATGAAATTACTTTCTTTCAAATTTTGCTCAAAACAATTGATTTGGGTGCTGAGGAAAAATAGGCTACTTACATAATGTTGGCAGGGGGTAAAGATGGGGAGAGGACCAAATGGCAAGGTTGGATGGTTGTGTGTTCAGGACTTACTCTGTGCAGTTTGGGGGTTTGTCAAACATAATTTGACCTGCATAAAATCCTAGCTCTTGCAGTGCTAAAGCTTATGCTAAAGCTCTGCTGTACTCCTATATTGCACAGATGTTTCACCGTCATTCGTTTATATTATACTAACCCTCAGAATTTATTGCTGTTGTGATATAAATGTTCCTCCACCATAGCTACTCACCACATCTTGATGCCTAGGACACTGGGGATTCAAATCAGGGTGGAAAATAATTGTGGAGGGGCAGCTCCAGTTTCCAGGAGACTGGACCTGTTTCACAGGAGCCACAGAAAAGGACTGAAGCATATGGAGAACAAAGGGGAATTTCCTGGAATGCAGCTTAAACACAGGAGTCCCCGAGAGCAGGAACTTCCAAAGAGGTGTAGACTTTCTAGACCTACTGAAGTAATCCTGATTGCTGTAGAGGCCCCAGGGCAATCCTGGAGACCCCCTGGACCCACTGCTAGGCAGAAAACTGGGAAGAGGATGGTGGCAAAACCTGTCAGTTAGTGTAGCTATTTCAGTGGAAGGACTGTTGCCCCCTGAGGCACAAGGAAGGCAACATGGAAGCACTGACAGCGTGCGCCCTGCCTGGTTACTTTCTCTGAGCCTCATGTACCTTAGCTGTAAATCAGGAGTGATAACCCTCACTTTGAGAGGTTTTGTGAGCAATACATGAGATAAGCCCTGCTGGTTTATATTAATAGTAGTGCTCACCGAGAGTTAGTTTCACATGCTCTGGATGGAGAGGAGGGGAATTGCAAAGAAGGGAAAGTTTGTGTTTTGTATCAGGTTATCTGATTCTTGCAGCCTGGCACAGTCTACCTACCACCTGCCTCCCTTCTACCATCTTATCTAAGTACCATTGCCTGGGCTATTTTTGTTATATTTACTTACTAAGCAGACTTAAGAAATCTCCCCACAGCACAAAACCAAAGGTATACACCTCCAGAGGTGGGATTCTCACCATCAATACAGGCTGTGGGGAAGGTAGCTTTGAGCAAGTCTCTAGGGTCCCCTAGAAGAGTGCCTTTTCTCCACATGGCTCCTGCTTCCGAGGCCCTGGCTGCCAAGCCTACTTCCTGCCCATAAGACTGCATGCAGCATTAGCCTTAGCCAATTGCTCCTCAATGGGGGAGGCAGCAGCCAGGGGACAGATTAGTCAGATAGAATGGCCACCCCTCTATCTCCCACATAGACAACATTCTAATGTTTTGATGGACTGCATATAATTTTCTTTCTACATGTACGTCCAAAACCTTTATGTGCTTATATTTTAGATTTTTTCTTTTTCTTGAGACAGAGTCTTGCTTTGTCGCCCAGGCTGGAGTGCAGTGGCACGATCTTGGTTCACTGTAACTTCTGCCTCCCAGGTTCAAGCAATCCCGAGTAACTGGGATGTGCTTATATTTTAAAATTGCATAACTAGTCCTGTTATTCAGCCCATTCTGTTTCTTACTTTCGTCCTGAACTTGTTTTTAAGATTTGTCCATGTTGCTCTAGATGCACTTGTACCTATACATCACTGTGAATTGTGCTCCATGTATTTTACCCATCTGCTCCCTGGCTGATGAGTTTGGAGAAGGCATCTGACACCCCGCCTCCACAAGTAATGCTGCTCCAAGTACCTTCCTATGTGGTCTCACCAAAGGATTTCTACCCAGGGGCAGAATTGCTGGCCACAGGGCATACTGAGTACTATGAGTACTACCAGATTGCTTTCCCCAATGATTTGCACCCTCCATTCTCTTCCACCTACTCCCATCCCCAAACAGGACATGTAAATTTCTATATTTTATCTCTATGTCATGGCAGTATCCAGCTTTCTAGTAGGTGTAAAATGCACATTGCTGCTTTATCATGTATATTTCTAA